GAAAATGTGTATTTTTAATAATTAGTTAGTAAATGCAACCTCCGACCCAGGGCGCCCACCCCTGTTGTCTCGACGCCGGCGCCCAGATAGGCATACGCTTGGTGCCCCCGTAAATAAATTTAGCGCATGCTCCGGGTATCTGAAAATTACCGTTGCACCTTGAGTGTCACGGCACCCCTATGAGAGTGCGACTCACTGCGACACGAGTATTCACGTCAGCGTGGTCCATTACAATAGTACACAATAGATTTCCATACAAGACCTACTTCCAAAATCATTTCTTAAACACTCATTCACATACTGCCAAATCTCTTTCAAGAGGCTAGGTTTCTCCCTTTAAAAATAAAGGAAATGGCCATAGAATTTTTTCACATGTAATCAATCCCTAACCACAACACAAAATAGTATGTTTATAACCTTGCTAGTAACATATACAAATCTTGTTCTTTTTCATAGTCAACGTAAATATGTTTTTATGTAAGCCACTTTTAATTTTCTGTAAACACTAATTTGCATTACGTTAGATTGTATAATAATTTTTGTATGGTGTAATAAATATGACCAAAATTCTCGTTATCCAAAATAATTTTCAAGAAAAATTTAAATACTGATTCAATTACTGATGTTTATAGTGATTACTTATTCTTATGACATGTTCGAAGCAAACCAACTTAATAATTATAGTATCCAAGGCAGCTTACCTCTATAATCATTGCCACTGCAGCCAGGATATCAAACTGAGCAATTCCCTTTTCTCTTCGTGAATATATTTTACTTGTCTCACTTTCTACAATTCTCCTCCTTAGCACATTCATTGAAGGGATTTTCGTCAAATCACGACGCATCGATGAAAATGCCAAAAAAATTTAAAATAACAATACATTTCCAAATCAACCCACAATTGAATTCGCTTGCAGAACAAAAACTTCGAAATAAGTACGCGCTAGCATCAACTCTCTCGCGGGCTCCACACAGCTGTTTGCCGCATGTTGCAAGGGAAATTGAGTGAGGTTGACATATCTCTCTTTATCGAGCATGCAAAAATCCAGCGAAAAAAAGACCCATGGACTTCGTAGGCTGTAATGCATCCTTTGCGTGGGGGAGTGAAGTTGAGGTTGACTCCTACTGCGGTTGAACTTAAATCATAACCAAAATTCCCTAAGCCAATTAAGGAAGAATGGCGGGTGATTTACATAAGGTTGATATGGAAGGGACGAGTTAGTTTGGCCGAATGTCCTGTAGATGGCAAATTCGGAGCGGCGCTGTTTCGCGTTGCTCTGACATGAACACATCAGCGCTGCGATTTCGAAACACATTCTTTCTCTTCGCTCTCATCGTTTATCGCTGCTCCAACATAAACGTACCCTTAGCCGCTGGGTCTGCGTCAGGCTGAAGTGGGTATGCCTCAGGGATATGCAGTGCTAGGAGTACAGCGCTAGTTCCTCAGATGTGTAATTATTGTATAGAAAAACTTGTAAATAAATATGTACACAAGAACTTCGTGTCTGTGTTTCACTCTTACCCGACGACGTCACAATAATATTGTTTTCATAATTATTTTATTTAGATGGTGCGTAAGGTTGACCGAGGGTGTGTTGCGGGGACCCTCTATATGTAAGACAGAAGGGGTCAAAAAGGACGGGAAGATATTGAGTTTCTAATTTATTGTGCAAAATGAACAAAAGCATCACAGATATATTTATTACAGATTATAATGTATCTTCACTAATAATTGAAACGTTGATTATTCTCCATATTTTTAAGCTAGACCCGCGAAGAAAAGGCGCATGTAAGTGTAAGTGTGAAGTACCTGTAAACAAATCTCGGCTCATTTACATGTCATCAAAAAAGCACAACACATTAGTACATATATTGAAACTTCTATTAATGCACACTAACAACTTATCTTTATCAAAGCCATTTTAAGGACAGCAAAATGTCCACCTGGCCTAGTGAATCTGAACTTTCTCGGCGACGTGATACACTTAAATTTAATTGGGCTATCATACTCTATTAAAATTCACAAGAACATTCTATGGGTTTTTGAATTGTTATGATCCACTTTAGAAGATATCCTCACATTTTAGTGAAAAACATAGTGGATGTTTTCTTACATTCAGCCTTCAGAATTGAGAAAAAGGAATTGGGATATTGACAAAGACTTCCCCGGCCAATCATGTGAATGATCTCGTTTGTCTGCGTGACGCCGCGTCGAAGGCTGTGTTGTCAACGTTTGTCCATATCGTAGTCTTTTCATCGATAATCTAATCGTAGGCTTAATTGATGAAGAGGAAAGTCATTGCGATCAGAATAACACTAAGAATTTTTGTAGAAAATCAATGCTGTTCTTTATAAAATGTAAAAAGAATTATCTAAAAAGTAGCCCAAATTGTACCTGACACAGTACTTCAAATTTCACTGAAAACAAAAATGAAATTGATGTAACCGTTCTCGAATAAAGAGAAAGATAAACTATAATTCACTAACTTAAGCTTTCTTCGTTTCCCAGTTATTAATGACAATCATTTATTAGAAAAATTAATGACTGTATCCATTCCTGCCCGCCCTCGCCCTGGTCGAAGTTCCGATTCCCACCCCTCACAGCGCCCACGCCTAGCTTCGCCCCCACGCCGATCCCAGTCTTGCTGTATTGGATTTTTCGAATAACTTCCGTCTGAATGCCCCAGGGCAGGTCCCACTGCAAGGCGTGTTTCCACCGTTCGCCACAGCTATCGTGCCCGCGCCACCGTTCCGGGGAAACCCCGAGGGAAGGGCACGTAGCGCTCGGGACGGCGCCGAGCTGCTGCGTCGTGTGTGGTTTCGGCCATTTGCACGTTCCGGACATGCCCTGTGGGAGAAGTCGGTGACAGGGGATGCACACAGTCGATGCCACAATCTGAGGCAATTTGCATACAGACACACTGTGACACCACAAGCAATTGCATCAGTGTTATATCAGTACCCAAATAAATTATTTAGTAGATATTCTATCATGGGTATTAACGTTTCATTACATTATTTTCACATATTTAAAGACAAAGGTTGTAGTGTTTGTAAATGTTATTTGTAAGGTGTATTATATGGTTATTAAAACGTTTAAGACGTGTAAAAGAATTTATAACAATTCTCTTTCATGTTGCGCCAAATCCCTAGAGACTCCATTCACGAAAAGGTACCTATCCCCTTTATAATTTTATTGTCGTGAATGTACCGCTTCTCAGGTACGTCAGAATATCAATAGAACATTTTACAGTAGATGTTAAAGTGACTAAAATAATTGGTAAATCTTAATGACGTCCGCCGTTTATCGCCATCAAATTGGCAACAACACTCTTTCAAACCCCTCTTCCTCACCCCCCTACGAGAGCAGACGCAAGACTGCTGCAAGACCAGTTTGCTACCTGCCATGATCGTCAATAGAACATTTCTGGTGAGCTCGATCATGTTAGCAACAGAAACCTCCATTGAAATCACTTTGCCCGCAACACGATGCGGTTCAAAACTATTGCTAATTTGTGCACTCAGGAGTAAACTGCAGCTCGAAATTATTGCCATTCCAAAGCCAATGCGCAAAAATGAAACGACAGCTTGAGGGATCTGTCATCCAAATAAAGTATACCAATGTGAAACCAAGTGAATTAACTCATCAAGGAATCTGGCCTGCGTCTCGTCTCTGGCTCGCCTCGAGCCCAAACTTTGCCGAAGGCAGGCGGTGAACAAAGTGAATTGATATGCCTCGTGCCAAACCTCGTCGAAGGCAGGCTGGCTTCCCATTGCTCCTCCACGTATGTCACAGAGCCCGTCTTTGCACCAGGTTCGAGCGCCCAGAGCTCAGCACTCGATCGCCACTCAAATCCATCAAACTACTGATTTCGCTAGTGCCAAACGTGTCTAGCCACTTCACGGCAACTTTTCATTAGCAAAAGAAAAATCTAAAGCTGTATAAATTTTAACAATTTGCGTAAACTTTGTTGTGTATACTAGTTCCAAATGAACATAAAAACATTGATGTAATGTACAATTTTAATATCAACAATATAAATCTAAGCGAAATAAAATACACTAAGAAATATAATTAATATTGACATGTGTCCACGCAAATTATCTTAATCAATCAGTATCAAACTACTCATTTAAAGCTACTAATTATCTATTTCAAATAGTTTTTTGAATCATCTCATACCCATTAATACTCAGTTATTATAAGTTTATCATCCAAATCAATTCAAGGGCTACGTTTCGTGTGTTTTCCTCATAATAGGAGTTCTATCATTGATGCGCATTCAAGGACTATGATTTATATGTTTTGTGTTATTTTACGTTTTATCATTCAAGTGCTTAAGGATTATGATTTATGTTCTTTCTCACTGCGTATCCAGTGTGCCATGGATTAAATCTCAACATGCTAAATATAATAAATTCTTCTCATTTCTTGCATCCGCCACCCACATTTCAGGATTACTGAATGAAGCGTCTCTTCGTCAGTCCTCTGCAACGCAGACCCCAAAAGTGGGGGAAATTGAAGGGCGCTGCTGGTGGCGACGAGGGTCCGACCGGAGTCCTAAACATGAGCGAAATTCCTGACTTGTATTTGACCGAATCTGCTTCGTCCTCACAATGGCCAATGAAATTTACCAACAATGATAGTAAGATTTTACCTTTTGTAAATTGTTTAATTAAATTGTACACTGTTTACGTCTTTACATAAATTTTAAACTGACAGACTAGAAATATCAAATATATGACACTCGAATATTTATTGCTTAATCATCTGTATTATGTAACACACTACTGTAATACAGATATGTTCACTTTTTGATTTTCATAAGGGTTGCCCGAGAACATCACTTTCCCTAATATCCTTCTTTTGCCTGAGTGTGTAAATGAAGAGAAAAGAACGTCTATTCATTGTTTCCTGAGGTCATAATATTCTAAACCTCTTGTTTCCGCCTCCAAAAAGGAACATCTCCATTACATTCCAGATGTTATAGAAATTTAGCCAGGTGATTGCCTAATTGCCATTCGTTTGTTCTTGAAAGAGACTCATGTTTTAGGCATTTGATGTCCTTTTGGAATTACTGTTAACGTTCAAAAGCATCACATGTGGAAAGAACTCACATAATCAATAGTCTCCCCTAGTCTTTGCATTTATTACTTTCTCGCCTGACGAATACTTCGTAAGAAGAGAGTAGAGAAGTAGAAGAAGAAAGTTATGAAACCGTGCGTCGGAAAACGGCGAATTTTTTTTCCAGAAAAACTCTTATTGCCAAGCTGTGGTAACGAAAAAAGGGATAAATCCTGTAGCTAAATTTAGGGAGGAATCCTCTATCACGTGTAGCCACAATCCGTCTTCATGGTTCTTGACAGCAAAAAATCGATTGACGAGAAATGTCCGACTGCCTGTCCACCTGTCTGTCCTTCCGTCCGCCGGACAGTCTGTCTGTATGTCCGTCCGTCCGTCTGCCTGTTTCAGTCTGTGATCAACGCTAACGGCTAAATATTTCAGCTGATTTTCTTCAAAATTGATATTCTTCAATCGATCTGAATGAACTCGCGGGTTTGGCAGTTCCAAAAAAATATTTTGATTTTTGAGGGTACTTCACATGACAGCTCAAAAACCTTTTCAAAATTATTTCATTAGCTCAATTTTTTCTTTAAATTTGCTTCACATATGTAACAAAGGACTGTGCTAATCCAAATTTCGTATATTGACCCATTTTTTTCGAAAATGCTAAAAAATTAACTTTTGAAAACATCAAAATTGGAAAAAGCGATTTCTTCTTTAAAGAAAGTCAGCTCTTTAAAAATGGTCGAGTATTTTTTTTTAAATCGCTTAGTTTGAATCTTAAATTGTCATTCGTTTGTTGAAATCGCTTAGTTTGAATTTGAAATGTATGCAATTTCGAAAACAATTTTTCTCAGAACCAACACGAATATTTTTCATTAAGTTTTCTCCTGGAATGTCACAACGTATGGTAAAGAAATAAACTAGTGATGGTGTGGAAAGACTTTCTCACACTAGTTAGTATTCGAATCTCTTTAGTCTCGACTAGCTTTTGGATTATGTATTATTCTCTTTCCAGTTATCATCTTTAGCCGAGAGTCAATTTTTCGGCTGCTCAATGCTGTAACTTCTATGCGCTTATGTGGCATTTTTTCGAAAATGCTAAAAAGTAAACATTTGAAAACTACAAAACTGGAGATAGCGATTTCTGCTTTAAACAAAGTCAAAGCCTTTTTTTAAAAAAGGTCACGTAGTATTTTTGCAAAAGTTAGTGGTTTATGGGTAATCTGCGCTTAAAATTTACGAATTTGTTTCTCACAAAAACCTCTCCAAATGTTTTCATTAAGTTTTCTCCACACATGGAATAAGGAGCGGCAAAAAATATGGTGCTTGTCCCATTTTCGGGAATTGCTCGTTTTTTCGAAAATTACAAAAAAAGGTACAAATTTGTAAAGGATTTGGTCGTAGGCAAAGTCTGTGTACAAAATTACCTCTTTAAAATGCCATGTATTTTTTTTTAAAAATGAGTAGTTTTTGCGTAATTTACGCTTGAAGTGTATGAAAAAAATTCTCAAAAACCTCTCCAATTTTTTTCTTTGAATATTCTCCTCCTAAGTTATAAAGAAGAGTAAGAACTATGGCCCTAGTCCCATTTTCAAGTATTCCTCGGTTTCTCAAAAATTGCAAAAATAATTCCAAACTACTCGTACATAATTGAAGAAAAAGTTTGTTGTAAATAAACTAGAGGTGCTATTGAATGGCACAGACTTTCTCGCAGTATTTACGTTCGTAATCTCTTTAGTCTAAACTAGGATTTCAGTTGTGACTGATTCTTTTCCCAGATATGATCTTTGGTCGCCCAAAGGATATTTTTCCACCTTTTTTCGATTTTCTTCTTAATACTAGAACTTAGACTTCCATACGCTTATTACTATCCATGCTAAATCCACGTGTTACACGGGTGTTGGAATGGCTAATTGGTGTATACGGACTAATCTTTGGAGGGAAAGATAGCTGGTACGAGTCTTGGTCGGTGTATATTATTTGTCACAATTCTCTGTTACCGCAAAACATAATTGATAATTCCAGAAACTTTGTTGAAAATCATTTCAAGGAGTTCTAATCACAAATAGAATTAAGATAAATAAACGGAAAGTGTGTGTATGAGATTTTTCAATTTTCAACGTCTAAAGAATTTGATACGTTTCTTATTGGATTTGTAAAATATCTCAACGAATCAATTGTTTTCTTTTGGAACGTCTATTATAGAAGCGCCGACTCTCTGTATAGCCCGGGTGCCTAAAGTGGTTAAGTGTCAGGATCGGTCTCCGCGTCTCGGAGTCAAGTGCCGATGTTTCGAGCCTGATTTCACGATAATTGTTTGTCACTACTCTGTTGGTGATGATATCTGTTAAGAATTTCAAATTTTTTTGAAAATCATTTGAAAAGATTATACTCACATATATAATCTGTTTTGATTCGAAATAAACTGAAGGTGTCTGAATGTCAATTTCTTACTTTGAAATTTTAAACAATTGTACAAATCTGCTGTTCTGTTTTTAGAACGAATGTCACATCAAATCAATTATTCAACACAATATGCAATGCAATATAATATTGTAGAAAGGTTAGATACATTGCGAGGAAGTATGTGCTTTGGCAGTTTTACTTGTTTTCAAAACGTCCGTCAGCCCGTCTGTCCGTTTGTCTGTGAACACTACTAGCTCCTAAACCATACGTAGGATTTTTTCCAGATTGAAAAATTCCCTGTCCATCTGGTTCGAGTCGAAATTTTGAGATTTTGAGAAACATTATTTAAAATTTGGGGGTACTTCATCTAAACCCTCCGGACATTGTCAAAAAGTATCTCAAAAACGGCTCCAATATTTTGCATTCAATTTCTTGTAAGGATAGAGTAAAACTCCTCTTAACAAGGCGGCATATGCCTGATTTTCGCTGATAACTCCAGTTTCGAAAAATGCAAAAGTCAGATTTTTTTCGACGTATTCTTACAAATACAAATTGAAGATTGAAATTTGTTTTTTCAAATACAATTTGCTGTCTATTGTTAATTCTTTCATTAAGAACATGTACGTTTTTTGAAAATTGTGTAGTTATCAAGCAATTTGTGCAATTAAAAAAAATTCAAATAAAAGATATTCTCAAAAAAGGCTCAAAATGTTTTCTGTAAACTTTTGAAAGGGATAGTACTTAATGCACTCAATATGAAGATAAAAACGCCATATTGCTCTTTTCTTTTTTTTCTCACAAATTATCAATTTCTTATGTTTTTCTCGCTTGTCTCACGTCGTTAATATTTACAATTTAGGCAATTTGTTTACATTACTGTATTTATGAGTACATAAGCTTTAAATAATGTCAGATAAAGTTTACCCAACACTCAACAGTTTTCTATGAACATTAGCTCAAAATTACGCATTCTTAGAAATGCTCAAACACCATTTCCAGTAAAGCGGCTACAATTTTTTGCTTCAAACTTTTAGAACAGACAGTGCTAATTGCACTGATGAAGATGACACAGAATTAATTTTGCTGTATTCATTAGACGTTATTTCAAAAATTATACAAATATTTTTTGTTGTATAGTTGTATCACGCCTTTAATATGTGCATTTCCAGCATTTGTGGCATAAGATGTCGTCATTTGAAATTTTTCGAAAACTCAATACTTTTCTGTGAAAATAGGTTCAAATTTTGAATTTACAGTAGCGATTAAATGCGGTTTCTTCTTAAAAACGGCTCTACATTTTCCATGAAAATTGCCATTTGGGGCGAGGATTTACTGATATTTTAATATCGTAAAATTAATAATTCTATTCTACTATTAAGAAGCCGAAAAACTATGAAAATTACACTAATACACGTATTATAGGGAAATTTATGTAAAGCTGCGGAAAATCGATTTCGAGATTTCAACGGAAATACCCTTCTTGGGGTCCCCTGATACCAAAAATTGCTTTTTCCAAAACGTTCGTCTGTTCGTCCGTGTCTGCTGTATGTGAACAACACAAGCGCATAAACTATGCATAGTTTTTTTTTTCCAAATTGAATAAGCTCCGGTCCATTTGGCCTGAGTCGAATCTCTCCGATTTTGAAAATCATTCATAAGTTTTTGGAGGTACTTTAAATGAAACGTTTGGAACATTTTCAAACATTTTTTAAACATAGCTCTAAATTTTTTCATTACGTTTCTTATAAGAATAAAGTAAAATGCACTTATAAATGTGGCAGAGGCCCGATTTCCACAGTTAACTCTAAATTCTTGAAAATGTGAAAAGTTTGAATTTTTTCGGGGTCTTCCTACGACTACAAAGTTAAAGATAGGAATTTTTTCCTTCAATTGAAATTTGTTGTTCACAATTTGTTCTCTCATTAAGTTCAAAGACATTCTTTTTTGAAAATTTATGTCGTTTTTGCGCAATATTGCATGCAATATCTGCAATTTTAAAAATTTACAAAACAAGATTTTCTCAAAAACTGTTCCATACTTTTTTAACCTTTTCGTAGCGATTGTTCTCAATGCACTCTCTAAGATGATATAAATGTCATATTGCTATGTTCTTTTGTTTCTTCAAATATTACAAAAAAGTATTTTTTTACTTATATCTTACATCGTACTTATCTCTTACAACATTTACATGAGCGGCAATTTGTTCACTTTTGGCTCATTATATTTATGAGTACATGTGCTTTAAGTAGCGTCAGATAAGATTCTCGAAAACTCAACCGTTTTCTGTCAAAGCTAGCTCAAAATTTCGCAATTTCAGAAACGCTCAAAAGCCTTTTTCTCCAAATTTTTTCTTCTAACTTTTCGAAAGGATTGGGCAAATTCCACTCTTTAATATTACGTAAAGTTAATTTGAAGTATTGTTTTTTAAAAAATTACATAAATGTGTTTTCTTTTAATATCTCTAGTTAAATTTTTTTCAAATCACTTTAAATTAAGTTTTTCTAAAACTCAAAAATCTTCTGTAAAGAAGTACTTCGAATTTCGAATTTGCTGTAGCGCTTAAGCGCCATTTTCTTAAAAACGGCTCCAAATTTTTTACAGAAATTAGCCATTTAGGACACGGTTTACTGTTCTTTAATATTGTTGAAATAATATTTCCGGTCTATTATTTGGAAACCAAAAAATGGAGAATTAAAAAAAATGTATTTTTGGGGGCGAAAGGTTGCAGCAGGCAATATGTGGCATGTTCGTATAGATAGCCGAGACCAAAGGCAATAGAAAAAAATACGGGAGAGTCCGAAGCATTCCGTATCACCATTAGTGTATTAATGTGTACAAGTGATTTAAACAATGTTATAAAATGTCATAAAATTTTTTGAAAACGCAATGGTTTTCTGTGAAAAAGAGTTTAAAATTCCGTCTTTTCACATTTTCATTGTGATTTAAAATGACTAATATAATTTCAAATGAAGGCTTTCGAAAACTAAACAATTCTCTATGAATATGAGCTTAAAACTTCGCATTCACACTAAAGCTTAAATGAAAAATTGAGAAAATGTGAAGAAAATGTAGTGTAGAGGTAGGTGGCAAGAGGGTGGGGCAAGTACGAAAAGTTGGCCCAGGCGAGAGATATTAGAAAACTAATTACTAGTACGAGAAATTATGTGCCAATGTGTGTGCGAATTAATTTGTTACTGTTTGTTGTGTTTTGTTTAGAAGGAGAATGTTTACATAGTTTCGGGTTTATAGATGGATACAGATTGATAAATAGCTAATTAATTTTACTGACTATTTGTGCAATGTGAAATGTAAGATAAATCATTTTTAAGGCACGTCAATAAATTTAGCGGCAACTTTCCTTTTGTTCTCTAAAGAAGAGACCGTCTATTGCAAAATTTACTCATATATCTATTGGAATGCTGATTAATATATTTTCCTCTGATAATTGTTTGATAAAGACATTATAGTAGTATTGGCTATATGATTACTTAGAGTGGAACCTGCTTTGACAAACATGAATCTTTAGTTAGTTTTATTATTTTAACCGCCTGTGGACTAACTCAAGGATGGTATGGTTCGGGTGAATGCGAAAAGGGAATTGTGTTCTTGGTTACGTGTGATGTGTGTTTGAGAAGGTGGTTACCATTTCTGCAAACTACTTTCTTTGTGACAATATATCTCGTTAGAAGCACAAGTGCTTGCGCAAAGTCGCTCAGACGGCAAGGGACCGGCTTAGGTTGCTCAGGGCATCCATTGATGTTACTGCAGTGCCTCTGACCGAGACGTTTTAGAGTTCGACTCCCGACGGTGGCAGACTTCGACATCAGCTACATAGCTAGATCGATTTCAGCCGCAGTCTGGAGGAGAATAGTAGCAGCTCCGATCCGTTGTTTTTTTCGAACAGCTCGAGGTGAATAGGGAACAGTACCATAACTAACGGGCAATGGACCGCGTGCGATTTTTCCTTCCCCTTCCTTGTCCTATCCTCACTGCTTACACATACACTTACAACACCATTCGAGAGCTTAGAGCTTGTCCTAGCTGGGGCGGGTCTCGCTGGCGCCAGCCGACGGGCCGGTCGTCGTCCGGAGGGGAGCATCAACACCACCACCACCTCCGCGATGCACCGCACTCGCGGGACTAACCAACCAACGGGGCCGTGCGCAAGGGAAAGGGGCGTGGCTCACCGTGCGGTTGCCCAGGTTGCGGATGCGGCAGTTGAGCTGCGCCGTCTTGCCCACGAGCGCCGTCACGTTCCTGGAGGCGCTGGCATCGAAGCGGGGCCCGCGCAGGCTCCCACCCGCCGCCACCACCTCGTCCTCCTCGCTCGCGTCCTCGACGTCCTCCGCCCCCGCCGCCGCCCCCGACCGCGCAACGTACAGCTCCTCCGCGCGCAGCGAGTCTGCGCAAGACACTTCTGTTAGGTGAGGCAAAATGCGGAATGTACACACATAAAAATTAGGTTTCTAGATTTATATGTTAAAAAAGCAAACACTATCTTACCGCCTCGAAAGAGCCTAGGTCGGAGGCCAGATAAGTAATAATCTTTGATTAGGCTTTGAGAACTCAACTATTTTCAGAGCTTTTAATTTAACTCTTTAGGAGATGCTGAACCTGCCATTGTCATTGTGTAATGTACATCTCCACTCACGAGATAGAGCGGCATTTTAATACCTTTCGTAATATTGCTCTGTTGATATTGCAGTGAATCTGTTCAACTGCTGCATGCCCCTTTTGCGTGCCCGCGAATGAAACCCGCGACGCACAGAGCGCCACTCCGCGCAGTTCGGTTTGGCCACGTGCAGAGCCGGCGCACGGACGCCCTCATGCCACCCCCACCCCCACCCATTACAAAGCTTGCCCCTGAGACCCTCATCGAAACCGTCTACCACCCGCCTCATCCCTTGTTCTCGGGGTGTTAGATTGATCACCGCAAGTCTTGTTAGCCAATTCGCAAACGGCCTGCCAGGTAGTCCTTGGGGCGCATAATGGAAGCACCATGAAGCGGCGAGCCGCGGGAGCACAACGAGCGACCAATTGACAACAGACCCATAGACGTCGCCTCAATCCAGTCGAGGTAGGCTGATGAAAGTTGCGAGGAACCTGATGAACCAACCAACCAGAGCCAAAGCATTACGCACGTGACAGAGCACAGAACTTGAAATAAAAATTGAGGGAGCAATGGAGGAGCTAGGAAAACGGCACAAATAAGGCGGTTACGATCAGACGTTACAAAATAACTCGGTTACGAGCGGACTGTACAGTAGAGCTCAGTTGCAGCGACTCGAGTTGACGACATCAGTGCGTGACAGACATCACCAGACGAAGCTTGGGTGGGACGAAGTAGTCGTTTTTTGGCTTCCATACAGCAGAAAGCTGGTGATGATAGATAAGCTATCGAAAGCTGCTATTGTAATAAACAATATTGTTGGCAATGACGACCCATATAATTATTTCATTGTAAATGCCGCCGCAAACTCACCACAATACCAAGAAGCTTGGGTAACTAACAGCAGAGTATCTAATTTAACTAGTGGTGCGACACAATGGAATAAAAATTCCTGTATTGGGTCTCTATTTTGTTGGTCTGGTGTTAGCTATTCTGACTTTCTTCTTTGCAAAGAATCGAATTTGAAATCTGGTAAGACTGTTTTCGTAGCGTTTCCAGTTTATAAAAGTGATTTTCTTAATCGAAAAACGCGTTGTCAAAGTTAAGGATCTTTGCGAATATTTCCGTTTCCACCAGTAGCCTGTCTTGATGTTAAAGTTGGGTTCGCTTTAATGCCTTATATCCGATGTTGATTATCTTACAATGTTCACATAATTAATTCGACGACCAAATATCTTCACCCAAAATCATGACCTTGGTGCAACATGACATCTTCATTTTCGTTGATTCCCAAATTTTTGTGATTAATTTTTTTGTTCGCTTCAACTGATTTCACTATGAACTTGGCTCAGCCCTAATGTCTACTAAAACCTGTCATCGTTAGTTATCTATACTCAATATATTTGGTTATATGATGGTTTCAAAATAAAAACATATTTTTCACAAATTTCTACTTCCCAAATCACATCTATTGCCCTAGGAATCTTTAATGTCCCGAATTTATTGTTTATGTTGTCCTGGAACATGCCTACGTCCAATTAGTTTCATCCCAATATTTGCATTTAATGTATCCACGTCCAATAGCAACCCAATGTCCTCTTCGTAAATGTAGTAACTACTATTTTACTTTCGTCTGAGTCACTATTCCATATTACATATTATTATTTAATAATGCTATTGAGATATCTTGGTATATCACATTTCAACATCCATGTTTTGAAAATACCGACATCAATGCCGCATCCCTATTCGACTAGATTACTATTGTGGCGTTACTGAATGCTTTATATTCAAAGAACATTATTTTCAGTAGTTTCCCTATAGTAGCCTGCCGCAAAGAGCCCTGCAGCCTGCGCCTAGACCCTTCCACACGCAACTGCGACGCTTTGTTTGTGTAGGAGAACCTCTAGCCACCCAGGCCTTCTTTGGTAACATCCATAGGAGATAATTATATCTAAAGGAGATCCATAGGAGATACATGGCATTATTTGTTTCCCTTGACCACAACAAGAGTTTTCCACAAGTTATATGATCATTTTTTACACCTTTGTCATATCGACATAAGACATTGGGTAGATGATTGACCTACAATTACTTTTTTAGAGATTTTTTTTCTGTAGTATTTGGTGTAGTCTTTAATTCTTAATCATCTATACTGAGATTTAATTCGATTGGTAAAAATATAGCATCATAATTTAAATTATGAAACAGAATGGGAATAAATTGTGGAAGACGTGAATATAAATTAAATACATTTCACGCTGCACCTTTTACATCACACGTACTATAAACCTGATCAAACATTTTTTTAATTCGTGTTCTTTAAAATATCTATTAATGATATGACACATATCTATTAATATTATGTTATATTTTCATAATCAGATTTACTCATTTTTAATGTCCATTGTAATTTAATATTTCGATGCAAATGTTCCTTAAGCATAATATTGACCCATACCTGTACGTTATTCATTAAATGTATGCATTAATTCATCAATAAATTCATTAATATATTTGTTTTAAATATTGTGTAACCAAATCATAACATTTATCGTCATATATCGTCAATCGATCAATCAGTTTTTTATGTGATAAGGATATTTCAAAAACCGATTATTTTTATATATTAAAATAGAAAAGAATCAATAGGATATCGAAGATGAAGATGTTAATGTTCAAGATGATGAATAAAAAATCGCTTTACGATGGTAATATACGGTAACCGGTGAATCATTTTAGTTTTATATAATCGAGGTTACCGAATTCCGTGAACTCAATCAATAGTTTACATTTTACTCATATACCTGCAATTCTTCATTTGTTCCGGCTTTTTCTAACATAATAGGATGTTGAAAAGTAGTCTAATATTTATCATGCAACAACGGCAAAATCCAAGCAGTAATAGCAATAAAAAAAACCCCTAGAAACATTTCTCCACATACGACATTATCACAACAAGATATGAAAATTCAACCCTTTCAGTATCGATTCCTAGATAGTTTTTCCAATCTTCAAATCTTTTACAATAACTTGATACATAGCTTAAATCTTTTTAGTAGGATACATTTTATTAGTTATTTTTATTGATCAATGTTGAGTGTAAATATATGCATTTTTTAAGTGATAAGCATGGTTCAAGAAAATTATATATATATATATATATATATATATATATATATATATATATTATATATTGTGGTTTAGTGGGATTGTGCAACCCAATTAACACCACTGTCTCCATGTGTGCAGATACGACGGAGGCAGCGAGGATAACAGACGCGTAAGGCAGAGGTACTTAAACGCACGGCCTGGTATCCGTTGCCCGTTACTAAAACGAATGCCAACTAGCGAAGCATATGTTTCTTTGTGAAGGGTTGAGAGAGCGAAGCAACCCCCACCCATCACGAAGTATTCCCCAGCGCGCCGCGCTATAAATACGCGTAACCCGCAAGCCGGAAGTTCTCTTCTTTTCTTGGCCACCCACGCGCGAGTAAGCAGCTGCTCTTTGATCAAGCGTTCGCCGATCAACATTTTTCGTGTAAGAAATTACTTTAGATATGGTTTGCCGCTGGCCAACGACTACTAGTAGGAGTAGTTCGGCGCGTCGAAACGACGTTTCTAGTTAGTCGTCCGCGAGATAAGTGCAGGATTAAGTAGTGTTTCTTCATTATTGACAAACACGGGAAGAAATTTACCCGTTGTGAAGGAAGACCATTTAAAAGATTTCTGTTGTAAACGTAGAAGTAGCTTACGAGCGAGGAACTTGCACGGGTATTCAGTGAAGTGCAAGGGACATTTTCGCAAACGTGGGCGTAGTTAGAGGCAGCCGTTAGCAGACGAGGGAAGAAGAAGAGGCGAGACTTGGCCGCACGAGGAAGAAGTCGGATCGACAACGAAGAAGAACGAGAGGGCGCCAAGAGGCAACGCAGACGGCAGGGGCGAATCCCTCTCTCTACAACGCAGAGGTTGGGACCGAGCGGCGTCCACCTGCAGCGACCAGCGCACGACCGTCAGGCCAAAGAGTGGGGAAGTCCACAAGTAACAGTTAGGAACCGCAGGAAAATAGGTCAAGTTCACGTCGGCAGAAGAAAACTTAGTATAGAAAGTGCTAAGAATTTTGAGACACGGGTTTGGTTAACAAAATTACAGTATTATAGTAGAAACGTTTTGATGCGCTATTGCCTTTTGCCTAAAAACATTCTACTTGAGGACATTTTATTTATTTCGCTATTTTCAGGACACGGTTAAATTGTAATTAGGTAGCTGCACTTGTACCACATTTTGTTCTTTACGTGGTAAATATCTAAGCGAGAGATTGTAAAATTGAATTTTTGATTTTCATGTGAAATGTTATTAGATAGCACAAAATTTAGAATATAAATTTTCGAGGGAATTCCCAGTGTAGTTTAGGGGGTAATTATGTCAGAGTTCAATTTTGAAGTAAATTATGTGTTTTCAGTTCCACATGAGTCTGTGTTGTAAGGTTTCTATTTGGTTGTTGATAATTCTTGTTAAAAGGTGCATTCATATATTCTTGTTTTTGTCATTAACTTATGCCACTAAAGTTTATGGTAAATTATACGCGCGTTTGTGTCAATCTGGTGTTGATTTTATTGTGTTCAAGGGTTAAACCTTTCTCGCCCCTGAAGATCCTGCTCCCTGGATTTTTAAGACTCGCTTCACGAGCAAAAAATCGTTGATAACCCGCTTTACGGTTTCATGCCTGCTACGGAAGGTGGTACGTTGTACGAGGTAGGTGGGTATGTATAGAATCTATATTATATATTT